CCTATGCATATATTTCTGTGTATATGCACTGGCCCTGGATTCAGGAGGACCTGAGCTCAAATCCAGCCTCAGACACATAACAATTACTAGCTGTGTGACCCTGGGCAAGTCGCTTAACCCCATTGCCTGGTCAAAAATAAATAAATAAAAGTAAAAAGAAGGTAGGGTAGCAAGAATGAAAGATTTTAAAAAATGGACAGGACCAGAGCTGTACTGGGTCTTACTTGATGTGAAAGCCCCAAAGACGAAGGCCCACCAGTATGCCCATCACCATGGAGGATTTATGGCAGGACACGGATAAGAGCTACACAGGATAAGGAGGTAAAGATGGGGCTACAATCAGTACTATTGGAGGGACTCTGCACACATAGCTGAGATCACAAATCCACTTGAAACCTAACCCATATTGTTGTTATAGTACAGATTAATGGCCTGTTAAAATGAGACAGCCAGTTTGGAAAATGTTTCAAGCCACATTCAGAATACAGGCAAGCCTTTTTACCCTGGATCTTCTCCACTGATACTATTTGCCATAATGGAATGTCTGAAAAGATGAGGAAAGGAATGCTTTCTGAAGCATAGAAAAGTGATCAGGTCATACACACTAGAAAAAAAAGTCCTTTCTTTGGTAAATATGATTTCCCTCCTCCCTACCTTCAATGAAAGCTTAGTATTTTGCACAGTTCATAGGGGTTAGAGTTGCAAGAAGCATCAAAAGTCCAACCCCCTTATTTTCCAGGTAGAGAAATTGAGAACAAACCGTTGAGTGACTTGCCCAGGGTCACGGAGGCAATAACATAGTCTAGTGGATTGGGTATTAAATGTGGATATTAGGAGGCTTGGTTTCCCATTCTGTCTCTGTTTCTCTTTAAGCCTCGGTTTCCCATCTGTAAAAAGAGGCAGTTCGATGAGATGATTTCTGGGATCCATTCCAGCTCAAAGTCTATGAAACGGCAGAGCCAGAAATGGAAGCCAGGTCTGGCTCTTTCCCCTGCCTTGGGCTACACTGCTTCCCCTACAGTCTCCACACTGGGTTTTTCAAGATGGCTCTAGTGATTGTCAGCTGAAGCTTCACATATTTAGGTGAAGATGTATGCTTTTAGTTAGAGCTCAACTCACATTTCTAAGGCAGGATAGAGCACCTGTCCCCTATTCCTATTTCACAGACGATAAAGTGCACCCATGGGAAGACCCAACAAGCAACAAGCAAGAAGAGACCAACGACCACCCTTTTCGAAATGCGACTCAGTCCACGAAACAATGGAACCTCCGACAACTATGTAAGTTCTTATTAATATTATTAGTAATAATGACAGGTCACATTTCTATAGCAATTTATGGTTTGCCAATTACTTTCTTCACATCACCATTGAGAGAGAGATGGTACAAATGTTATTCTTCTCATTTTACAAATAAAGACACTGGGGCTGAGTGAGGTTGTGATTTGCCAAGAGATGCCCAGCTCCTGTCAGAGACAGGATTTGAACCCAGGTCTCCCAACTTCAAAAATCTTCAAAATCTACTACACTGGCATGTTGTACTTACTTCCTCTCACCATTAATCGAAGCCTTGAAAGATCTGCTCGGCAACGTGCATTAAATCCTCCTTCTGCCTTGGTCAATACTGTCCTGCTTTCATTTAAGATCACTTCTGCCACTCATGGTAGTTCCAGCCTGCCATTTTGTAAACCTTAAAACATTCCGGAGGAGAAAGTGAGGCTGGTGATTTTGCACACCCTCCCTCATTTAAATCCAACTCACTTGCATGTCATGGCACCATCACCAACAACTTCTGCCACTGAGCTAGTATGGGCTCCCCTGTCAGGACTATGGGTCAATCAGTAAAGAAGGAGCAGTCAATTGTGAAAGGTGGAGGGGAGCTGAGATGAGGAACACCTTGGTACTTCCTTGGTGTCCAAGAAATGGTAAACTAGAACAGAATACCTTTAGATGAACCCAAAGGCAGGTACTCCCTTTGTCTTACCTTTGCCCAGTTTTCCTGGACAAAGTTCAGAGGTACAGAAAGGGTTCAAAGATTGGGAGTGCTTGGGGGTTCCTTACAAAGCAGAGTCCTAGAACAACTTACACACAAAACTAGTCTTTTTTTTTCTTTTTTGGCCAGTGTTCCTTATGTACTCTCCAGGTGGGGCTCGGATCTGTTCCAAGAAAAGCTGGGAATGCTCCCTTTTCCTCCAGCCTCTAAGCTCCACAAGGGTTCTCAACCTCCTTCACAGTTCACTTACCACTCATTTTTTATCACACATAATTTTCTGGAGCACATACTCATATAGTGTTAAATTTCTTCTTTTAAATCATTTGGGAAGAGAAAAAATGGGCCCAAAATTTCATTAAAAGTTCACAAAATGTAAGAGCAGGGAGGGATCTTGGAGAGATCTAGCCTATTTCATAGGTGAGGAAACTCGGACCCAGAGAGAGGCGAAGTAACTTTGCCAAAATTACTTGGAAGTATGTTGAGACAAGAGCAGGCATTGGAAACCAGATCCTCCAACTACAAAGAGCCAGTTCTCTTTCCACTATACCAAGACACTTCATCTTTACTAAGTATCTCCCTATAAAAATTACATTAACATCTTTGAAAATTTCATTACCTAAGCAAAATTTAAATGATGATTTTATAGGCATCCTGACCTTTAAAACGCTATGAGGGAAGCCCAAAAGGGCCTCCTTTAAGACCAAGCTATTGTACCCCAAAGACTACAATGAGCATAAATAGTATTCTTGACTTACAGTAGGTATTGATAAGTTAAAACACTCCCTGTCAGTGCAGTGGCACCATCTATATGAAATGCTGGGGTTTCTTTATCACTTTAAGGTTTGCAAAACTCTTTGCCCACAGGATTTCACTGAATCCTCACAACAAACCTGGGTGGTCTTTAGTTCCTAGGATTATGATGTCCACTTTACAGATGAGAAAATTGAGGCTCAGAGAAGAAAAAAGATCTGCCTATGATCAAACTTCTCTTGTGAGAGGTGGACTTCCAGCCCCCTGTCCCTGTCAGTATGCTGCTTGAGGATGCTACATCATAAGTCAAATTGACAAAACCCATCCACTTCAGTCCAGTGGCTCTGTCTCGTGTCCAGATCAGAAACAAAATCAAGCATTCGTTAATCAGAACGCCACCTGGTCGGTTGGTGGTTGTCCTTCGTGTTCTGGAAGAGGACCAAAATGACATCACAATGCTAGAGTCAAGTTACAGTGTGTCCTACTGGGGTTCATCAGACCAATATGAGCTCCCATGTTCTACTACAGGTAGGGCACAAATAGTTGCTGTGAATATTTGAGATGGATTCTCTAAATTTTCGCATCTCTTTTTCTTTTGAGCTAGTTCACCTACTTTGATTTGGAAAGGGCAGGAAAGGGCTTCTTAGGCAATTATTCACCAGCCTGAGTTAAAGAGATGAAAACAGCAAAGAAAAAAATCTCACATTCTTGTGACCTTGTGACAACCAATCAATCAATCAATAAACAGTTCCAGGCACTGGATTGATTTATTAATTATTAGTTAATTTATTAATAAGCACAGATTAATTTATTTGGAAGGGGCCATGCACTGTGAATCAGAGGGGATGCAGTGTTTTCCACAGTAACAAAGAATGACTCCACAACTAAGTTTCACTTAAACAGATCTTTGACAGACAACTCAACATAGTAAGTAGAACTCGGAAGCCTTGGGTTCAAGTCCTACCCTTTGAATAATCTTGCAGTGAGACGAAGAAGGCAACTCTCAGACCTAGCCTGTCAAGTAAAGAGGAGTGGCTGATCTACATAGGTGAAGGGCGTTTCCACACCAAGAACTCCCCACACCAATGAAATCACAAATATGAATCCATTCCATATTTCACTTTAAAGTTTTCGGACGTACTTGTCCCCATTTTATAGATGAGAAAACCGAGACTCCACTTGGTTAAGTATGTTTCCTGACATCACACAGTAAACGAAGGTGTCTAAAGTTGTATTTGAACTCAGGTTAAGCTTGCGCCAGCCCTAGTGCAACCTCAAGGTCGGCCCTTGGGAGCTTGGGCACATTTCAGAGTGCAAGCCCGTACTCCTCATGATGATTAGTTTCTTAGAAGAGAGGCCGCAGCCACAGCTTTCCTTTCCGGAAGTCTGTGGTTACAATTGTCCAAACTTTAATTAAAGTTTAATGTTCTCACGCAAAGCTGTGAGTAGGAGAGACATTTTGCAAAAGGCGCTGGGACCATGGAGACGGTCTTCTAGGTTCTCCCCAGCTGACACAATGAAACTCTCCTGACCTAATTTCCACACAATTGTTTTATCCAGCCCTTAACTACTCTAACAACGGAATAACTGCGGGTGACAACAAGGGGCTGGCACACGGTCCAACCTCCCCGGGTTCCATTTCACTTTTTTTAGTTTTCTTCCCATCAAGGAGAAAACTGCAGAAAACAGAAACTTTCGCCCCGC